GGCCAAGAGAAGCCAAAGTCCATGGCAGCCCTCACAGCACTCGTGACCCACTTTTGTGCGGGCGAGGATAGTTCGCTGGCCCGTAGAAAAAACAATGCAAGCGACGTCGGCACCCCTGAAACCAAAAATAGCAACAACAAGTCCCGAGTCAACAGATACAATCGTCAAAACAACAATGACAACACTGATGGTACGACGGTCAATGCCGGATTCATATAGAGTCATTGCACATCCCGGTACACCGCTGGAGGCATTCATATAGAGTCATATCTTTGTTCTAGTATCGAGTTGTAATATTGAGTTGTAAGTAAATAAAAGTGTGATGATCATCATTATTAGAGCATTGCCCCAGTGAGGAAAGGATGATGAAGACTATGATTCCCCCACAAGTCGGGATGAGACTCCAGACGAACAAAGTAAAAAAAAGAAAAAAAGAGAAAGGCAAAAAAAGAGAAGGCCCAAAAAAGTAAAAAAAATAAAAAAAATAAAAAATGAGAGAAAAAGAGAGAAGGGGCAATGTTACTATCCTTTTACCACACTTGTGCTTCAGAGTAGCACCATGTTCTTCATATAGGGAGTCTCTTGAGTTATCACTTTCATATACTAGTGGAAATTTTCATTATAGAACTTGGCTTGTATATTCCGATGATGGGCTTCCTCAAACGCCCGAGGTCTTCATGAGCAAGTAAGTTGGATGCACACCCACTTAGTTTCAGTTTGAGCTTTCATACACTTATAGCTCTAGTGCATCCGTTGCATGGCAATCCCTACTTAGTCACATTGATATTTATTGATGGGCATCTCCATAGCCCGTTGATACGCCTAGTTGATATGAGACTATCTTCTCCTTTTGTCTCCTCCACAACCACCATTCTATTCCACCTATAGTGCTATGTCCATGGCTCACGCTCATGTATTGCGTGAAAGTTGAAAAGGTTTGAGAACGTCAAAAGTATGAAACAATTGCTTGGCTTGTCATCGGGGTTGTACATGATGTGAATATTTTGTGTGGTGAAGATGGAGCATAGCCAGACTATATGATTTTGTAGGGATAACTTTCTTTAGCCATGTTATTTTGAAAAGACATGATTGCTTTAATAGTAGGCTTGAGTTATTATTGTTTTTATGTGAAATGATAGACTATTGCTTTGAATAACTCGTATCTTAATATTCGTGCCATGATTAGATATGTGATCAAGATTATGCTAGGTAGCATTCCACATCAAAAAATTATCTTTTTTATCATTTACCTACTCGAGGACGAGCATGAATTAAGCTTGGGGATGCTGATACGTCTCTGTCGTATCTATAATTTTTGATTGTTCCATGCCAATATTCTACAACTTTCATATACTTCTGGCAACTTTTTATACTATTTTTGGGACTAACATATTGATCTAGTGCCCAGTGCCAGTTCCTGTTTGTTGCATGTTTTTTGTTTCGCAGAATATCCATATCAAACGGAGTCCAAACGGGATAAAAACTGACAGAGAATTTTTTTGGAATATATATGATTTTTGGGAAGAAAAATCCACGCGAGACGATGCCCGAGGGGGGCACGAGGCAGGGGGCGTGCCCCTGACCCTCGTGACCACCCCGTAAGGCGGTTGGTGCCCTTCTTTCGCCGCAAGAAAGCTAATATCCGGATAGAGATCATGTTGAAATTTCAGCTCAATCGGAGTTACGGATCTCCGGGAATATAAGAAACGGTGAAAGGGTAGAATCTGAGAACGCAGAAAGAGAGAGAGACAGAGAGACAGATCCAATCTCAGAGGGGCTCTCGCCCCTCCCACGCCATGGAGGCCAAGGACCAGAGGGGAAACCCTTCTCCCATCTAGGGAGGAGGTCGAGGAAGAAGAAGAAGGAGGAGGGCTCTCCCCCCTCGCTTCCGGTGGCACCGGAGTGCCACCGGGGGCCATCATCATCACCGCAATCTTCACCAACAACTTCACAGCCATCATCACCAACTCTTCCCCCCTCTATGCAGCGGTGTAACCTCTCTCTTACCGGCTGTAATCTCTACTTAAACATGGTGCTCAACGCTATATATTATTTCCCAATGATGTATGGCTATCCTATGATGTTTGAGTAGATCCATTTTGTCCTATGGGTTATTTGATGATCAAGATTGGTTTGAGTTGCATGTTTTATTATTGGTGATGTCCTATGGTGATCTCCGTGCCGCGCAAGCGTGAGGGATCTCCGCTGTAGGGTGTTGCAATACGTTCATGATTCGCTTATAGTGGGTTGCGTGAGTGACTGAAACACAAACCCGAGTAAGGGGGTTGTTACGTATGGGATAAAGAGGACTTGATGCTTTAATACTATGGTTGGGTTTTACCTTAATGATCTTTAGTAGTTGCAGATGCTTGCTAGAGTTCCAATCATAAGTGCATATGATCCAAGTAGAGAAAGTATGTTAGCTTATGCCTCTCTCTCATATAAAATTGCAATAGTGATTACCGGTCTAGTTGTCGATTGTCTAGGGACAAATAACTTTCTCGTAACCAAAAGCTCTTTACTAAAAGTAACTTAGTTGTGTCTTTATCTAAACAGCCCCTACTTTTTATTTACGTAATCTTTATTATCTTGCAAACCTATCCAACAACACCTAGAAAGTACTTCTAGTTTCATACTTGTTCTAGGTAAAGCGAACGTCAAGCGTGCGTAGAGTTGTATCGGTGGTCGATAGAACTTGAGGGAATATTTGTTCTACCTTTAGCTCCTCGTTGGGTTCGACACTCTTACTTATGAAAGAGGCTACAATTGATCCCCTATACTTGTGGGTTATCAACGATGATGACGAAGTTACCGGCGCAGGGCTTCGCCTAAGCACTACGACGATATGACCGAGGTGTGTAACTGTGGAGGGGGGCACCGCACATGGCTAAAAGATCAACTTGTGTGTTCTAGGGTGCCCCCCTGCCCCATATATAAAGGAGGGAGGGGGAGGCCGGCCGGCCCTAGGGGCGCACCCAAGGATAAGGAGTCCTACTAGGATTACCAATCCTAGTAGGATTCCTCCATAAGGAAGAGAGGGGGAAGGAAGGAGAGGGAGAGGGAGTAGGAAAGGGGGGCGCCGCCCTCCCTTCCCTTGTCCAATTCGGACTGCAGGGGGGGCTGCCCTGGCTTCCCTCCTCTCTCTCCAACAAGGCCTATGGTGGCCCATTAGTTCCCCCCGGGGGGGGTCCGGTAACCCCTCCCGCACTCCGTTTTTACCCGAAACTATCTGAAACACTTCCAGTGCCCGAATAACATGGTCCAATATATCAATCTTTATGTCTCGACCATTTCAAGACTCCTCGTCATGTTCGTGATCTCATCCGGGACTTCGAACAACCTTCGGTCATCAAATCACATAAACTCATAATAAAAATCGTCGTCGAACGTTAAGTGTGCGGACCCTACGGGTTCGAGAACTATGTAGACATGACTGAGACACATCTCCGGTCAATAACCAATAACGGAACCTGGATGCTCATATTGGCTCCTACATATTCTACGAAGATCTTTATCGGTCAAACCGTATAACAACACACGTTGTTTCCTTTGTCATCGATATGTTACTTACCCGGGATTCGATCGTCGGTATCATCATACCTAGTTCAATCTCGTTACCGACAAGTCTCTTTACTCGCCCCGTAATGCATCGTTCCGTAACTAACTCATTAGTCACATTGCTTGCAAGGCTTATAGTGATGAGCATTACTGAGAGGGCCCAGAGATACCTCTCCGACATTCGGAGTGACAAATCTTAATCTCGATCTATGCCAAGTCAAGAAACACCATTGGAGACACCTGTAGAGTATCTTTATAATTACCTAGTTACGTTGTGACGTTTGATAGCACACTAAGTGTTCCTCCGGTATTCGGGAGTTGCATAATCTCATAGTCATAGGAACATGTATAAGTCATAAAGAAAGCAATAGCAATAAACTAAACAATCATAGTGCTAAGCCAACAGATGAGTCTTGTCCATCACATCATTCTCTAATGATGTGATCTCATTCATCAAATGACAACACATGTCTATGGCTAGAAAACTTAACCATCTTTGATTAACGAGCTAGTCAAGTAGCGGCACATTAGGGACACTCTGTTTGTCTTATGTATTCACACATGTACTAAGTATTAATACAATTCTAGCATGAATAATAAACATTCATCATGATATAAGAAAATATAAATAACAACTTTATTATTGCCTCTAGGGCATATTTCCTTTAGGATCGCCGACACCTCCGCGATAGCGCGACAAGGCAAGTTACGGCGACGACGACGACGACGACAACGAACATCTAGCACCGGAGGCAGGAGAGTGGGGCACTGGAGAGAGAAACATGACATTCACGATTTACTTCTGGGAAGGGGACAACTGGCTGATGGCTTTGAGATTCGTTTGACTACGTGTCAACTGATGGAGAGGGTCCAACCATTGGGAGCATGCGACCCGAGTCGCATAAGATTTTTTCCCATGCAAACTACTCGTACTCTTCACAAAAATTTAACCAAATCAATTGAACCAGCCACCTTTTGTATGAGAGCTTAATTTTTTTAAAGAAGGAGAATATATTGAACCAGCCACCTTTATTTTTTGAGGCAAATTGAACCAGCCACCTAGAGAAAAACTAAAAAAAACCCACAAAAAAGACACTTTTTTTTGAGAAAAAAAAACGACACGAAAGAAGGGAAAAGAAAACTTCCGGCCCACCAACAATCTATGGGCCGAAGTCAAGTTCAAGCCCACAGCCCGGCCCACCAAGGTAAACGAGCGTTTTAGGGTTTAGGCTTCCCGGCATAGATATAAAACCAGGCTCTAGGGTTTCCACTCCGCCGCGCCGCCCCCTTCTCCCACCCTGCCTCGTCGCGGTAAGCCACCTCCGCCTCTCCCTTTCTCCTCTCTTGGTGCTTCCATTTAACTCGTCTGTTCCTTCCGTCTGACCCGCCATTCTTCTCCCTCTCTGTCGCTGCGCAGGAACAGTGCTCCCACCGCCGGCGCCATGAGGTACGGACACGCTTCTCCTTTGGCCCCGACAGTAGTTTTGGTTTGCTTTGGGGTGCGGGATCCGTGAGATGTTTACAGTCTGTTAACTATGTGATCCAGCATTGGTCGCTAGTCAGTTTGTTTGCTGCTGTGGCGACTGGTCTGTTCCGTGGTGCTTAGGATTTACCGAGCGGTTGTTAGCGGCGAGCAAATTTATCTTTCGTACCGTGTTACATGCCTCGCATCCTTGGTGTGGTTGCTTTTTAATCAGAAAGCATGCTTGTTTTCCCTTTTGTTTGTTGGAGCAAGCACTGATGCGTCCTGTAGATCTACATTAGATGCTATATACTGTATCATCTATCTTGTCAGTTGCTAGATACATTTCCGAAAGAGTTCATAGAATCAGACCCATGAATTTGTTGCATGCCACGCTGTCCCTAGAAAGCTGTAGCGGCATTAGATGCTAAATATATTTGTTCAGCGGCAGCTAGCTTGCTCTGGGATGGGAGCATTCCTGCAAAATTTCCATAAGTGAAGGAATAAGTCTGTATCGAATCTAGTCTTTCTGTTTGTAGGCGCCCCTTTGTGTCTGCTGCACAATGCTGTGATTTATATGTTTAATTGCTGTGAACATCAGTTTTTGTTGAACCTGTTCTGTGAATTAGCAACATGCTTTATATTTAGCTGAACTTTTTACAACCTTAGTTACTGATGCTGCTGCATGAAGTCCTCACAAGCTTATTAGAGCTGTATGTGTTTCTTGCAAACGTAGGTCATGTTTTATTGGCACCTTGCCAGTTATAGAAGCATAGAACTTAACCTCCACTGTCGTGCCGTACCATTCAACTAACTGCTGATTCCTCCATATTTCAGTAAGTTGCAGAGCGACGCCCTGAGGGAGGCAATCACAAACATTATCAATGACTGCCGTGAGAAGAACCGCAAGTTCGTTGAAACCATTGAGCTGCAGATTGGTCTGAAGAACTATGACCCGCAAAAGGACAAGCGTTTCAGTGGTTCTGTCAAGCTTCCTCACATCCCTCGCCCAAAGATGAGGGTTTGCATGCTTGGTGATGCCCAGCACGTTGAAGAGGTACCATATGCTTCTATCAATTTTTATTTCACCTGTGCTGAAAACATAATTAAGTTTATTGTTCTTCAATATGGTTTTCACTTGTGTTTAGTGAAATGAGTTGTTTACCTTGATCATTCAAAACCCAGTATAAGTCCAGTGATTTTCTACCTTCAGTCAGAACTTTTCATACATGCAAAGTATTTTTCTTGAGCCATAAGTTCATTTTTATAATGTTTCACTAGCAACACTTAGTTTTATCATTTGTTTTAGATTGTATGCTATTCAGCAATTCTTTGCTTTACGTTTCCTGATATTTCTGTTGTACTCTTGTTATCAATGCTGGATGCAGGCAGGGAAAATGGGCCTAGACTGCATGGATGTGGAATCCCTTAAGAAGATGAACAAAAACAAGAAGCTGGTCAAGAAGCTTGCAAAGAAGTATCATGCTTTCCTTGCATCTGAGGCTATTATTAAGCAGATTCCCCGACTTCTTGGACCTGGTCTTAACAAGGCAGGCAAGTATTTCTTGTTCCATGTTTTGCATTAGAAGACTGTTTGCTGGTGTGATCAGTTCATGTTTGATTAACTTTGACTATTGGCAGTTATTTTTATTGCCAAATAAACATCTCATCGCTTGCATGGATATTGCATTTAGTCATAGGTTATTAAAAGTGGGCCATGCTATGAAATACAGTAAATCATACTCCCTCTGTCCCAAAATAAGTGACTCAACTTTGTACTAAAGGTACTACAAAGTGGAGTCACTTATTTTGGGATGGAGGGAGTAGCATCTTTGCTGTCTGCTTGTGTTGTTTAACCTTAGTAGCTCACTGGCACACTATAGCATCGCTATCTCTTGCTGGCATAACGTCTCTGTCTTTATTTTATTTTTGAGAGCATCTGTGATCTGCTTCCTCTATATTCATCCTTGCACTTTGAGGTATGCTTACCTATGAAGAAAGCATTGGGGAAAATATTCTGAGATGCTCCTTTTTGTTTCATATATTACTGCAAATCCTTGTTCCCTAAATGTAAATTCCACAAGTATATAAAACTGTGCCTTTATAATATTTCAGTTTTTCTTAGGTAAGAAATATGGGAACTGGGTTTGTGGCAAGGCCTAGGGTTTACTGGTCTTTAGTAGTCCATTGATGAATGCTGAAATCTATGTTAAAATCATACCTTCTAGTGGATTTTTATTGAAATTTAGGAGACATACACTTTGGCATGTCAATGTATTTTGTTTAGATTATGTACTTCGTAGTGTATGACGCAATTAGGCATACGTTGCTATCTTCTGGACTATACTTAGTAACTGAAGTGTTGTTTTCTACCTTGTTACTACTCTTGTTCTTACGTGATAATCAACTGCAGGAAAGTTTCCAACTTTGGTGTCTCACCAGGAATCCCTTGAGTCCAAGGTTAATGAGACCAAGGCCACAGTCAAGTTCCAGTTGAAAAAGGTGCTTTGCATGGGTGTTGCCGTTGGCCACCTGGGTATGGAGGAGAAGCAGATCTTCCAGAACGTGCAGATGAGCGTCAACTTCCTCGTCTCTCTGTTGAAGAAGAACTGGCAAAACGTATGTTATGTGCCCCCTGCCATACCTGCACACAATATTTTCATCAACATTTGGCTATTGATTGGTGGTTATATGTTAAAAATAGATTACTGATTGATCTGTAATTTCTTGCAGGTGAGATGCTTGTACCTGAAGAGCACGATGGGGAAGGTGTACCGGTTGTTCTAGGCTCTAGTCTTCTAGGATTTCCAGGAGATTGACAACTTGGGAACTTTTGTTGCTTTCTCAATTATCAAATTTTCGTGCGCTGAGGAGTGACAATTATTGTCTTGTACTGAGATGCTTTGTTCTATTGTCTGGAACTTGATGACATTTTATCCGTTGTCCCTGTGCCTTACTACTGCTCTGCCTGCTGTCATCAGCTTAACACTAGATTCAGCATTACTCCTTCGGTATTTACGACCGTCAGAATCTTATTTTACCGAGTGTGTCGGACGGTGGAATCTCGGTGTATCCGTGCTGCCCCGCTGACATCCTTGGAGCATCCCAGTAATCTCTTTGGAGTCTGCACGGACGAGTTTTGTCTTCAGATCACACCCAATTCTTTTATGCTTTCACACCCAATTCTTTTATGCTTTCACACCCAATTCTCTGGAACGTATCGACGTTGCCCATCTGGTTCCTGATCATGCGTGTACGAATTTTATATTCTCTGGCATAAGTTTGGTTTCTGTTTCCCCAAACCGCTATAAAAACAACAGCCACCCCGACTCAAAAAACACAACGTATTCCATTGTCACTAGCTACTGATCCCAGCCATGGCAAGCCGAGCTCTCGCCCCCTTCCAGCTCGCTGCCATCCTCCTGGTCGCGCTCTTCGCCACGTGCCATGCCGGCAGCATCGCTGTGTACTGGGGCCAGAACGACGGCGAGGTGTCGCTGGCTAAGACATGCGCGTCAGGTAACTACAAGTTCGTCGTCGTTGCTTTCCTCCCAAAGTTTGGCAAGGGCCAGAAGCCGGAGCTGAACCTCGCCGGCCACTGTGACCCTTCATCTGGCGGCTGCAAAATCCTGAGCAAGGACATCCACTCGTGCCAGTGCCGCGGCGTCAAGGTCCTCCTCTCCCTCGGGGGCGCGGACGGCAGCTACGGCCTCTCGTCCCGCGGCGATGCACGGCAGGTTGCCATGTATCTCTGGAACACCTTCCTGGGCGGCACGAGGTCGTCGTCTCGCCCCCTCGGGGACGCTGTGCTCGACGGCATCGACTTCGACATCGAGAAAGGCGGCTCCAAGTTCTGGGGTGACCTTGCCAGGGACCTCAAGAACTTGGACAAGGGCGTGCTGCTGAGCGCGGCGCCACAGTGCCCTTTCCCTGACCAGTGGGACGATGGCGCGATCAGGACAGGGCTGTTCGACTTCGTGTGGGTGCAGTTCTACAACAACCCGGAGTGCCAGATCAGCGCAGGCCCTGGAGCATTCTTGGCCGCGTGGAAGAGGTGGGAGTCATTGCCGATAGGGAAGCTCTTCCTGGGGCTGCCGGCTTCCAAGGACGCGGCGGGCACCGGGTTCGTGCCCGCCGGCAAGCTCAAGTCGGTACTGCCGCTCATCAAGGGCACGCCCAAGTACGGCGGCGTCATGCTGTGGGCTAAGTTCTATGACGATCACACTGGATATAGCTCCGCCATCAAGGGCCACGTGTGATTCTCCCTGGTGTTTCTTCGCTTGATTGGCGCTGTCGTGTGTGCCGCTCCTGTACGATAGTATCAGGTGTTAATTGCTTGAAATAACATCATATTGGTAGCGACTATGTCCCAATATGTAAGGATCACGGTGTAGTTTCTTTGAAGCCGCCATGTCCTAATCACTTCAAATTTGGAACTCTACATATTACATTATGCACTACATCGTTAGTATATCTATATAAAATGAAAGTATAACTATTGGTCAATGAACTATAGCTCGAGTTCAGCATCAATGCTAAATTTGAATACCACTACTTGACAGTATGCTATCCATATGCCAGAGCCATGAGTTGGTCACAAGATTTTATGGGTTTCACCTCTAGCCTATCTTAACTTGTTTGGGACTAAAGACTTTGTTGTTATTGTTGTTGCTGTTGTTGACAGTATAACATCTCGATATTTTAGACAGGACAACTTTGGGCCTCTCCTACCTAGAAGCAGTTTGATGGGTGACGTGGCAGTGGTTTCACATAGGTGGCACAAACTAAACATTTTCTCAATACATCACAACAATGGTTAAATAAGGAAAACTGAATAAAGGAATAAAAATAATAATGACATTTTAGAATTGGAAAGATAGTCTGTAAATAAAAAAATAAGCAGAGCGAGGAAACAAGTTTAGGAGCATTCACGAAACCTTAGGAATTATTTGTGATCACTCTCTATTTTCTCTGGGTTTTCCGTTATACTTATGACTTCTTTTCTTTTTAAAATTTCCTTGTTGTATACCACATATGGTGTTCCTATTTTTTTTTTCATTCGTATTATAATTTTACTTATATTTTCTACTCCCTCCATATCATAATAAGTGATATTTTGGGCTTGACTACTAACTTTGAATGTAACATATGTATAAACAACATAAAAATATAAGATTTTAGAAATATTTTTGAGACAAAAATCTATACTATTGTATTTGCAACTTGGAAAATTTAAAATGATATTCATGGACAAAGTATATTTTTTTTGCGTGAAGGCATTGCCCAAAATGGTACTTATCTGTAATATGGAAGGAGTATTTTTTTTAATTTCATTCAAAAATATTGTTGACTTTACTACTACGTTTACGAAATCACTTCAATATCATCCATAAGAGGGCCCAAAGCTTTCCGGTTTAAAAGGTGGAGATGTCATGTATTTTGGCATTCAAGTTGCGGAACATGTGTTTTTGGATCATAACCAATGAACCAAAACGAAATGCACGTTTCCATCAAATCGACTAGGTGAAAGGCATTTTCCGCTCATGGATTGAGATGGATTGCATTAAGGAATGATTGAGATGAATTGCATTAAGGGCAATGGCCCGAGGAAGCGGTGAACTCCGGCCGACACCGCCTCCACATTTTATCTAGTTATATTTTCTTTTGTATTATAGTTCGGATGAACTATGTCTTTTGGGTTAGATGCAGTATGTCCTATTATCCAAAAATGGTTCCCTCCACTTTGTATTACGAAGCAACCAACACCAATCAGCAATTGCTCGGGCGAGTAGCACAACAAGCCCAAAAAAATAGAGAAAGAATAAAGAAGAAGGAACAAATGCCAACAATGGTACCTCGACAAATCACGGATGACCCGCCACCACTGTGCCCTCCAGAATCGACCCACCACAAACCAAGGATCCGATCCGCCGCGTATCAAGCAGCACCTCCAAGAAAGGATGCGAAACCGACGATGCTGCTGCTCGGACATGTCCTAGGGTTTCCCCCGACACGCGGAAGGGGGTGGGCATGGATACCTCCGACACCCTCCAGGAAGGAATGCGGCACCCGTAGGTGTCCCCGCATCGGAGCTGGAAGAACCGGCAAGGATTTCTCCCGCACTCCAAACCCCACTGCCCAACCGGGCCTGAGCCAATCCAACCACCTCGCCACCCACCAGCATGCGCCACCGCGGTCTTGACGCCACCCACGCCGCCTCACCGAGATCATCATCACGAGGCCAAGAGGACGAAGAGAGACGCACCAGGCGATGGGAGCAGCAGCACCAGAGCCGCGCGGGAGGGAACTACCTCCACCGCCGTCGCGCGGGAGGCCCGTGCCTCCGGCACCATCATGGTCGCCGTCTGGACGTGGCAGCAGGGCATACCAGGCCACGCCTAGCCCGGCCAGGCCCAAATCAGGCCCGCAAAGCCCCACTGCACCAGGGTGGCACTAGCATCCACCCCGCCCATCGCCGCTCCCTGCCTCCCGGGAGCCACCCCGATGACCCTCCCCGCTGCCGTCCCGCCCAGACCCAGATGGGGCCTGAAGGACTCAACAGATCTGGGCCGAGCGGGCACCGCTAGGTCGCGCCGCCGCGCCACCCCACCGCCCAGCAGATCGCCTGCGACCATGACAGAGAACCCCCCTCCCCGCCACACTGGACCGCCGCTGCCTAGGAGTACTCCGTGACGCCGCCCCACCCCGCGTCGGCGCGACCCGAGAGGGGAGTGGCCAGCTGCCGCCGCCACCAGCACCGCCCGGCCCATGCCCGGCGCCGGACGCGAGCGACGGCGGCAGGGAGGGAGGGAAGGGGGAGGGCTCGGGGAGGAGGCGCCGGGGGCGCGGCCGGTCGCCCGCGGGGGCGACACGATCGCAAGAGTCTAACCTTGCTTGTGTTCCCTATAATATACAAGGAAAAACCCATAGTATGTCCTATTAACTATGTGGAGAAATTTATCGTTCGATGTTGATCTACATTAATTTTGTTTACGTCGCTGCATGCATTGCATGATTTGGCGCGGGCAATGGCTACTACAGTTGTGGATATCGAAAAATGGACACTGCCCGGTCACTGCCAGCGGGCATGTCCGAACACGACCGCGGGTGTTTGGGAGACTATTTTTGCGAGTTGTGGTTGTAGATGCTCTAAGACCAAAAAGTCACTTTGGAGGACGGGTGCATTGGAGCCCTGTATTTTGAATAGTGTCAAAATGCTATTTTGAAGTTTCAAAAAATCATTAAATAAATCAACATGTTTTTATGAATGTATATTACATATGTGCAAATTTTGACGCTGAAATAAGTAACCATGTGAGTCATACAAAAAAGACAAAATCATGATTTTGGAAAGATGAATAGTGCATGTATTATTGACTATTTGGAAATCATCATTTTGTCATTTTTGTACAGCTCACATGTTTACTTATTTCATCACCAAACTTTTACACATATGTAATATACATCCATATGATCACGTAGAGTTATTTCAGAATTTTTTGCAAATTTAAATGTGATTTTTAAAGTATTTAAAATAAGGTCCTCCAATACACCCGGGTTTTAAAAATCCACTCTCAAGCATATTATGCTCTGCCTGGTACTCCTGGTGTAGAAAACAGAGGAGAGCGCTCAATTTTTATTCCACGTCTTGTTGATGTTTTGGTCCACCAGGGTAGGGCGTTTGTGCTTTGAACGCACTCTTTTTTTTTGAAACGAGGCAAAAGATTTGCCATTTTTATTGATTAAGAAGAAGAAAATTACCTGGTTAATTGGCGGAAAACCGAGCT